GGGGAAGCGCAGGCCTTTGTGATGGAAGTTATCGTGTTTGAGCAGACATCTTCTGGAGGTGAACATCTTCCCACACTGCAGACAGCCAAACGCTGCAGCGGGCTTCTCCAGCACAGGCTCTCCTGAGTGATGCACTCTTGCCACATGCCTTGTCAAGGTCAAACTGTGCCGGAACTTTTTCCCACACTCCCAGCAGAGGTACGGATAAGCTTTGGTGTGTTTCCTCTGATGCTCCACCAGGTCTGAGTAGGATCTGAAGCGTTTTACACATTGGGGACATTGGAACGGCTGATATCCCGTATGTTTCCACTCATGCCGGATAAAACGTTTGAGACTAACAAAGGTGGTCTGACAGTGAGTGCAGGTGTATGGTTCTGAGGGGTTGTGCACGTCTACATAGTGTTTATGAAGAGCTTTGAACACAGGGAAGTTCTCCTCACAGTGATTACACTGAAATGGTGTGTGAGACTCTTTATGCAGAGCCAGTGCATCAGAGTCCCGCACCAGCTTCATGCAGGCGTGGCAGTAGAGTGGATTGTGCGTTTGTTTATGAGAGTCCAATGTGGATTTATATTTGAATGCTTTGTCACACTGATCACATTTAAAACAGTGCTTATCATCCTCTGTCTTCTCAGGGTCTACCTGTTGCTCATCATAACAAATGTTTCTTAAATGAAACCTGAATGTCTGTCTGCACTTGAACTCGGCACTGCACTGTGGGCAGTAGAACGGTCCTTCTGCCACACTTTTGTCATCACCTGCTTCAGTGTCCTCTTCAGCGCCGTCTGCATCTGCTGTCTCTTGGCCATCAGTGTCTGCTTTTGGCTGCTGACTTTTGTCTTTTACAACACTCGAACATTTATGGCGCTGCAGAAATCGCAGGCTCTTGTAGACCTTTTCACAGGAATAGCAGGAGTAGGGCGCCTCATCAGCATGCTGGCTCATGTGACGCTCTAACAATTTGCTCTGTGCCACTTCCATTCCACAGACCTTGCACGTTCGGTCATCCAGGTCACTGCTTGGAGATTTTTTGGCATTGTTGGAACTCTTTGTCTTTGTTCTTTTCCACTGAGAAAGTAAACGTTTCATCTTTAAACCACGGTTCTTTCTCACTGGTCTTTGGCCCAGCACAAAGTCCGGATCCTCCAGTTGCTCCTTACTTAATTTTACTTGATAGTCTTCATCTTGTGGTACTTTTTTGGGACGACCACGGCGCCTCTTGGCCTGTTCGCCGAGCACAGTCACCTGCCCATCCTCTCCAATCATCAGCGTGTCACTTTTGTCAGTGTGGTGATTGTCTTTGCTGCCCTCTACTGAATGCACCACTATCTCAATTGCTTCAGATTTGACTTCATTTCCCAGATCTACCCACTGAGCATTCACCGCATCTTCACAGCTATCTGGTCCAACATAGACTTTATCATCAGACTCCACCTCCATCTCACTGCAGATTGTATACTCCACACCACTCTCTGAATCCGGCACTGCTTGGGCACTAACAATTAACACCCTTTCTTCTGATGGGAGACATAGGGCTGATAAAATGCCACTTTCAACAACCAGAGAATCTGCAATAGAGGAGAAATATATAGTAAATTCAAAAGTGGAGACAGTCGAACCACACCGATTTTCATTAGGTCTTTAGTTAACCCTTGGAACTAAGTTTAAGGCTAAGGTTATTATGAGGGATTATTAACCGATAGGATTTATATGGCTTTAATATTATTAATAGATTTGAAACTCAAAGTTCATAGTCAACATGCGATAACAACAAAAAAGGACAAACACCCCAAATCAAATAATACAATTTGGTTTAGGAAAGCCCAAATATTTTAAGTGAACTTAGACACAGTGCTTATCATTATTTTATCCTGAGATCTGAGATAGTTAAGGTAATCTTGAATGACTGAAGAATGAAGGGTTTACCAATGTTGTCTAATTGGCTGAGGTCTTTGTAAGTGTCCAGCAACAGCTTCAATTCCTGAGGATCTGAGAACGACTCCATATATTCATTCAAAACACATGAAGGGTCACCAAGGAGTGATGCTATCTAAACATGGAAAGATGGATAAAACATTATTTTTCATGATAAATACAAATATGGCAATCAAAAACACACACACACAAAAAACCTTTACCTGCTGCAGGGACTGAGTTGGGAGAAGCTTTTCAAGTCGAGACAGAAACAGCCACATTAGGGTTTGGATTGCTTTGTCATACGTTGGACCAAAGTCACCTGGGAAAACATCCTAAAACAAAGTACAATGCATATTTTTAAATCATTAAAAACATACCCCATTTAAAACATGTTGAGCCAAGTCAGCTTAAAAAAACAAACAAACATGCTCTTACGTTAAAGAAATTTTTCCTCTCATCCGGGTCTCTCAGCAGGTTTTTAACCAGAGCCATGAAATGAGACTCAGATTGTTCACTCTCTGCATTAGGAGTCTGGAAAGAAATAAATGAAATAAATGCTTGCTCTCTGATAAAAGGAATGCTGAAATATTAAATTAACAGCTCTTACCACCACAGACCACAGAGCTTCCAGTTCCTGCATTCGGTCTAAATGCGGTTGGATGATCTGAATTTGAGCTGTGTCTTCACACCGACACAGTTCTAAGATTAGCTGTAAAACAAAACTTTAAATTAAATGTCTCAGATACAAACACTTCACACTTTATCTGATACAGTCCTTGTCAAAATGAGCTGATCCAGGTGTTATTTTAGACTTATGCTATTTTAGAAGTTGTTTGAAGTAGGTCTAAGAAGTTTAATGCATACAAAATACTTTGTCTGATTCTGATGTGTGTTGTGAATTTTCTTTTGGGACAACTCAAAATTTTCATGCAGTCTCCGAAATTCCCATTTTCCTGACAACAAGGTGCAATGTGCAACCACCTATAACCTCCCTGAAGGTTGCATTTACAATTTATGCTGCACCACATGAAAGAAGCATTTCACATCGTTCACTTAACATTAGGAATGTGCAAAAATCTCGAAATATTGATATATCGTATCTCTTAATGTGATGATACAATAACGATATCTGCTGTATCAATATATAACACCAAGAGTATTTTTTGGTATATTTACTAAATTATTTTGTTACACCTCTACAGTTTTGTGGTTTGTTCAGAGGAAGGAAAGAAGGAAACTCATTTGATAAGTAAGATGTCTGTGTTTCATATTCACTTTGCATAAGAGATGATTTAACACAGGCTTTCAGTATCACAGTCATGATTTAGACATTATTTTTTATTGAACCATATCGAACAGATTTGAAATATATCAAATCGATAGCTCACTGTATCAAAATATGTATAGTATCATGGCCTATGTATCGAGGTATGCATCGTATCGCCAACTTCTTAATGATACCCAGCCTTACTTAACATCACGCCATTTATTTTTTATTTGTATTAATATTTTTTTCATTGTTTGCATTATTATTATTATTATTACTATTATTATTGTTTGTTTTATGTTTCACAGTAACACTGGAGCAAGCTCCTAGTCTGTGAATTATCACTGACAATAACAATAAAGCTGACTCTGATACTAAAGCAGTTAAGATTACGACTAGAATTTGTCAGAATAACTAGAAGAACAACAGATTTAAGCATATTGTAACTCAGATAAGATAAAAGAAAAATAATAAAGTACTTATTATTTTTTTGATAATATTTTGAATATTACTGGTGGAGCAGATGAAAGTTTTTGGAATTCCAATTACAGTACGGACTTTACTTTTAAATGCTCTCAGCTTTTACTTTACTGATTTTAAATGGTGTTGTGGTAATTGTGGCATTGTCAGAAAAGTGGAGAAGATAACAACAAATTAGACCATAAATTTGCTCCTTACCCGTGCTCTGAGCCCCAATATTAGTTCGGCTCGTTGTCTTGTTGAAAGAAGCTGAGGAACGATGTCTGTCACCCTAAACACAAACTCCTCCAGAAGACCATAGTCAGACACAATCTTCTGGTCCACTGTCTGCCAAATCGCCGCAGAGATCAGGCGATGAGGCGGAATCAAGAGACGCAAATAGGAGAGAGAAAGAGAGGAACCTGGGGAAAAATATCATGTTAAGAATGGTTAAAATGAGTTTGGGAGCATCAACTATAAAAAAAAGCATACTTCTGAGGACTCTAAGCAATGTACGGGCAGACAAATAAATCGTCACATCACGGAAAAACGTAGTTCAAACAGTTTTAGACACTTGTTTTGAGGCTTGGTAACTTATTAATCATAGCGACAAATGGAGAAACAAGCTAACATCGACAATTTCATATCATTCAGTTGTCCCATAAGGGTATTGTGGTTCATTTGAAATTCGTAGAGTTTGCTTAAAGCCAGCTTGCAGTTTATTTCACGTGCAATGTTAACGTTGTTACCATATTCGTATTTATGCATTACCAAACTATATTAGCAATGCTATTCCCGCGCGCGGTCTATGTTGCGGCCTAGCCAGAGAGATGTGTTTGTAAATCTTTAAACTCACCTGGTAACGCGGATACTCTCTTTTCCATCCTGTTATTTGTCTCCGCTCACATTCACGTTACAAACATTAAGAAAGCACTAAAAAATAAGCCGTTTTCGAGTGTCTTGTGCCTGGATGTAACCGTGTAGGGACTTTACAGATAATCTTTGTGCGTCAACGGTTGCCCTGTTCCGCCGGAATCAACAGTCCGACACCAAACAAAAAGGTTTCAATAGTTCCGTCTTTTGGAAAAGGAGTTTAAGTCAGTAAAAGTTGTTCTACAGTTGCAAACAGTGAATAAGCATGATCATATAACACTATTTATACCCTCTACAACTTGAAACAGTTTTTACCCGTTTTGGTGGGCCAAACGTGGAAAATATCCAATATTGTAAGTAAAATAATAAAATTATATATAATAATAATATAATTCAGTGTACATATCTACATTATTAAATATTCCTACTGCACATGTGTAGGTTAATATTCCTACTGTTAATAGAAGAGGACAGCACACAGAGAAACCATTCTGCACCATTTATTGGAAACAAGAAAAAATAAATACATCTGTCCCTCAAAGAGAAAATCATTAGCTGTAATCACAAACAAAAGGTGCATTTTGATGATGAATTACTATGTGAAGTATTGGTCATCCAAAATACTTTTGTAAATGTGTGACAATAAAAAGAATCCGCATTAGTATGGAATATACAGTGACTGGTGGAGACTTTATATACAAGGCTTTATTTTGAAATATATTTTGACTTAAATAGTCTCACTTGAACAGAGTATTACTGTGTGCATTTATAAATCAATTTGAGATCATTGTACTTGGGAATGCATACTGCAAATACAAATGCAAAACAACCCTCTGAAATAAAAGCCCAACTCCAAATTTACTTTCCAATATATAATTACAAATATTATGCCATTGTGGAAAAAGTCCTCTTCAGTTATTATACAGTGCCAAATCTGAACAATTTACATCAGCACATGGGCCCTGGCTACACTTACATGTACATTTCGCTATTTTTTAAATTATTTTTGTCTTACCGCATTAGAACAGCTAGCACATGCAATTTTGTTTGGCTTTGACAGTTCCAAGTCTTGTTGAAAATGTTAGCAAGACTAAGTAAGAAAATACATGTGTGTAAAATGTTGATGAGCCTTATTTAACTACACTAAAATTCAACACATGTTTTTTTTTTTTTTACTGTAATAAGAAGATATACATTTATACTGGACAAAATATAATAAAACTAACAATCCTACCTGAAAAGAAGTAATATTGAAAGGGTTTGCCCTGAAAGCTTAATTTTTTTAAACTAAATATTTGTGCATGTGTAGCCAGGACCTTAAAGAACACAAGTGAATGTACAAAAAAATCTCACTTTTCTTGTTTTTTTTTTTACACAGGGTAATAAAAAAGTTAAGGCAAGATGCATCAAACAGAGATGCTGTTGAAGTCCAGGAGGAGGAGCTCTGTCTCAGGCATCTTGCCCCAGTCTTGGGAGTAGAGGTGGGGGTGGTGGAGGTGGGCCTGTTCTCCACTAACCTCTGAGTCTGACACAGCACTCCTTTTTGGCACTTAAGCTGGCAGGCTCAGTTTCTTTCCTTTCAGCACTGAAATAGTAAGCACATGAGTATAATTAAACACTAACCCACTATCATACATATAAATAAAAAATACTGACATTGTTTGATATCTAGAAATGTCATGCAAAATGCAATAAATTAACTATAGATAATTATCCGTACACCCTTCACAATTAACAAATCAGTTTTACATTTTCAGCTTTTGAATTAAAAATAAATTTTAAAAAGTTCAGACAAAACAATTTGAAAAGGATCACAGGTATCAAGCTCTACTCTAGTGCATACAAGTAAGAATGTTTATGTTTCTTTAGATTTGATAGCAGTGATGTTACAAAGCATGTTTCATCTAAGCCCTGATTCAGACTCACCTTTTGTGACATACAAATAGAAGAAATCGCAGTACAGGATGGTCTGCACTACTCCAGCCACAATGGCAATCATGTCGAAGAAGCCCTCAAAGTAAAACCTCCAAATCCAGTTGATGAGGTAGAGGGCTCTATATAGTCCCAGGAAGAACAGATAGTGTGTGGTGATAGTCTCGGCCTCCCCTGTTTTACTGATCATGAAAAGCTGCGGCAAGATCGCCACCGACTCCAGGTAGATGGAAAACGTCCACAGAATCTGAGCCACACAAAAACACAAAATAATCAACCAAACCAAGGGACAAGAGATGACTTAAAATGAGATATTCCAATTTACCTACAGTCTTTAATGAAGATCATATAGGTGAATAATTTTCCTCTCATTATAGTGAATCACAGTGATTATAACAATGAAACATTCTGATTATTTGCTAAATGATTTCAGTGCTTATTACATTAAATCTTTTGTAGGTGTTCTTTTACCATTACTTTTTCAAAAAGGAAGGATATCTTTTCCTAATACTTAAAAGACTTTAGTACCATTGTGCAGTCACTTGTCAATCTGGTGTTAATCTGGCTTCATAAAAAGCCTGAGCTCTCATTTTTTCATCAAAACATCTTCACTATAACAGGAGGCACTAATACATTACCTCAAGGGGGGAGAAGTCATGGTTGACAAGGAAAGCTAGTCCCCCCACAGGAACAACCAAAAACTCCACTCTGAAGGTGTCATGGTTGCCATCATATGTGGCTTTAAACTTTGCGTAGATCAGATATACAGTGGCATATGCACACCCGATGTAGATAATCTAAGAAAAAAAACAGGCAACAAAGACTTCAATAAATCACAACTCCAAGTAATCAATATATAATTTATCTGCACTTCACTTGATGGGTGTGTTAAATGTGTCAATGTAAAGTGTGTTAGGAAAATTGTTCTGTTATGCTAAACTGTACTGTGGGCACTCACTGCCAGTTCAGAGATGTTAAAATCCACATCTCCTAGTTTTATAGTGTCTATAACAAGGCGCAAGAATTATGGTGCTTATGTTAATGGCAGACATGTCATCTTTTCTTTAAGTAAGTACACTTTATTCATATAGCACTTATCATAAAGTGCTATATAAAACAGTCACTTTGTGACTCTGTCACAAAGTGCTTCACAGTAAAAGGTCATCATAAGTGTGCAGCAAAAATACAGTCAATATATCAATCAGTAAGGTTAAAATGCTTGCTCAAGAGACAAGTTTTTAGGTGTTTTTGAAGGAATCCACAGAGTCCAAAGAGCAAAGGGAAAAAGGCAATTTGTTCCAGAGTCGAGGGGCAACACTAAATTTGCCTTTAGTGCAGTTATTACTGTTACAATCATGGCCTCTAAGAAAGCCTGCAGGTTTACCTTCATGGTGGTGTTGTAGAGTGAGATGAATGAGGTTAGCAAGTCCAGGTAACGAGTAGTAAACACTAAGGCAAACAAGACCTGGCTCTTTCCAGAAATGCCTGTAAAACACAGAACACCACATCGTTTACTTATTTTATCATCAGTTACACCTATTTCACGAGGAGATAACAGGCCAACTTTTTTTTCTTAAAAAAAAGTCAAGCCAAGCAAGCCAAAACAGTTGTTATGTACAAGTTGTTATGTACAAGACGTGCATATGACACATCTTGTTGAATGCATATGACACATCTTTTATGGTGAATACTCGCTAGTTATTGCGTATTCACGCATAATATGCATATCAATATGTTCAACAGACAACTGATAACCATTGACCTTTGGTACAGTATGGCAAGCTAGACCTAAAGGTGGTGGAGTTAAAACAATATTGGACATATTAAAACTATCTGAAAATGGTAAATATGAAAATATTCAGAAAAGCACTGAAAATGCACGCATGCATGCAGCTGTCAAAGTTGGTGCCACGTCAGACGTCATGTTGGCGACGCAAAGCACTGGTACTGGCAACGTCCAACCTACCATCAAACAGTTTTGTAGTTAGGCCAAACGCAGGGAAATGTGCAATCCAAATACTGTGATTCTCTACAAATGCTCGATTCCTTTACAAATTATAAGGGTTCGTAGCAGTCAGTTATTATAAGCAGGGAGCTATAGAAAGCGCACAGTAGTAGTGCTATAGCCAACAAGCTAACATTAGCCGTGAACCCGGCTAATGGGCTTCCACGAGACATCAGACATAATTGGCATAATAACTCAAATAAAGGTTCATTTTTTAACTTAAGTGCATAGTTTGCACACAACAGATAGTCACAGAAACGGTAAGTTTGGCCATAAATCTACTCACCGGCACAAGACCTGGTCTTCCATATCTTTAGCAGCAAAATGATGATGGCTGCTAAATGGGAGAGATCACCAGATAGCCTGAAGATGTTCATGTTTCTGGGGGTGCTGGCGGAAGCCTGTGCAAACTAACACTCTTATTAGTGCTAGGATGTGTTCCTCTATATGTTAAATTGTAGAGGTAACAGTCCAGTGACAGCCCTAATGACTGATTCTAGATTTAGAGGAAGAAAATGGCGAGTAAAGCGCGACGTGGCTGAGGGACGTGGCTAGTGCAGCAGCATCCAATGTCCAACGAGAAACGTTCAACGCTTCAGCCAATCAGATGACTGGCCCGCTATATTTACATGAAGCCTGTAGTCCTTCAACTTAATTTGCGTTGAGGAATTTGTAACTAAGCTACCGAAGAATTGCCCTAATAGTAAAATGGCATGTTTTAATATCACACTGTATATTGAATAGATCTCGGGACATTAAGTCATTTTTCTTAATCCCAGAACAGCAATTTGTTACACCTAATGCAAGAATATGAGATAGATAGCAATACATTAACACTTTATTTTTGGGGAATCGCTTGATAAGCCAATGGTATCAGGTATTTCCTGTGTCCTAGTTACAGTGTTCTTACAATAAGTTTAGCAGAGAACAGTGAAATTTAAGTTGTACTGGGTATTACTGTTAAGTTAGTCAGAAGCTTTCTAAGGACTGTGAGATATTAAGTATTTTAAATAAAGAGTAAATAAGATACAAACTAAATACAAGTTAATCAGAAAACAGTAGTCTTTATTTAATGTTTAAACAATTCAACTGAAACACGAAACATGGCACAGTTCAGCCTCTATACGCCACCAACTGGATTTAGTTGCATGTTAGCAAGTCTAAGAGTCTTTTCCCTGGACCTCTCACATCATTTGAACATGATGAAGCCTGGCATTCTCATTGTAGTTAGACATTTCTAAACATGGCATAATTCTCTAGGGGTGTCACGTTTTTTCAAGTTGTCTCTCAGAAATGATTAAGTCCAGAGTCCTTTGGCTACACAGTGCATTGGGAGTTCTGGAACAGATGGTGATAACTAAATAAATGTTATTCTATGAGTTTGGTTTCATTTCTATTTTAAATATGTTAAGGCAGTGATTCCCACTTCTGACTTTTAACAAAAGAACACATAAACATATACAAATGATATAAATGTTTGCCCGCTTATGACAATTTCATTAAAGTTCCCAAGTCCCTAACATGCACCAAATGTAATTAGTTATGTTTATTTTGAGTGTTTCACATGTAATTTGACAATAAAACAATACTGGATGTTTTAACTTGTGAAAGTCTTGGGAAAAAAATGCCTTTTGATTCTTCATCAGATATAAATAAGTTCCATAATCCTCTGGTGTTCACTGGTTCTGACTTTGATTTGTTGGTTTTAAAACGAAGACGGCATCGTCCAGTACATAATAATCATTGTACATGTCGCCTTCACAGAGGTAAGGTAGTCGTGTCACTGCCTCCACCTGAAACCCAGTCTTTTCAAATACCTCTGTGGACAAGTTCGTCACTTGTTCCTCCCAAGTTTTTCCTTTAATCTTTACATGTTCTTTGGGGCGCTGCCACTGCCCTCCTGAATAACAAAGGAACAAAACAAATTACAATAACATAACTGACTGAACTTTTATTATGACTTCTTCAAAAATAAAAAGCAAGCTTAAACTCACCAACTTCTACATAAGGCTGGAAGGGCACCACTGCCGCCAGGATGAGTCTGCCAGTTTTTGGGACAAGTGATTCGTGTATGTCTCGCAAAAGAGCCAAAGGATCGTCACAGCGGTCAAGCAAGTTTAGACAACTTACAAGGTCATATTTAAACCCAGTCTGATGCCATTCATCTATGCCCAGTAATCTTTACAAAATAGAAAACAGCAACAACAACATAAATTACTATAGACAAGCAAACTGCAGGAATCAGATCTGATCCCTTTCATGATATCCTATTGTGGTAATATCATTAATAATGAAATCAAAATTGTGATCTAGACTTTAAGAAAATAACAATATGACTTGATACAATACTGCTATATTCAATGGTTGTGTCTCAGTGTCAAAAGTTTAACATTACAGTCATTGAATTAAAAGAAAGTGTAGTATGTGTAAGTGTTGGTGGTGGTCTAAAAGGCCAATTGTGCAAATTGGCAGCCTCGCTTTGGTCAATCTGCTGTGGCTACAATAGAAGATTGCCACCACTGAGTGTGTAGTGAATGAACAATGAACTGTAAAGTGCTTTGGGTGTCTTGAAAGCTGCTATATAAATCCAATGATTAATTAATTAATTCATTCAATTTAAAAACAAAATTGTGAGCTCCTGGATCAAAACTTAATTTATTTGAAGCAGAAGTGATACAAAGTGCATGGCCAAATGTGATTTTTTTAATAAAAAATTGTTGCACAGAGGGGAATGCAACAATATCATATCATACATTCCTAGTCTTTACTATAGATGTAGTTTTTCAGGGGTAGACCAAAGCAGAAAAACGTACAAGTTTGAAGCTGTATATGGCAGATTGAATCTACTCACTTGTAATTCTTTCTCTGCAGATGCCACTTCATGGGCGGAGAGACCTCAGTGGCGTAGACCTCCTTGAAGTGAGGGCTCATGATCTGAGTGACTCCTCCATCACCAGCCCCCAGATCCAACAGTCGATCAGCTCTCCACTCCGGGCCTACTCCGAGAAGACGCTGAAACTGCTCTGATGAGAACACAAACATGGACCCACGACTCAGGAACCTGAAGATTTGAAGAAAATGTACAGACAGTAAATAAGGAAGAATGGACAATATCTGTCTTAAAATATTTCTGAGATGACATTTTACAGCCAATGGGTTTTCAACAAACTAGTTAATGTCAGTCAGTTAATAAACATGGACATTATTGCCATTAAAAGTTTTGGCAACTCCAGTGCCTTTAGGTCAACAAATTTTTAGTTGTACCTATAACATTTAAGACTTGACTCTAGTTAGATTAGCTTCTCCTTAGCTAAATGCAAGTTACAGAATTATTTTTATACTCTCACTTCAGTCTGAGTATGCCAGTGTATGTTTAATAATAGGGAACACGTTTCTAAGAATTGGGCCACACCCACTTTAATTATAACAGGAAAAACTCATAGGCAGAGTAGTACTTGCCCGTTGATTGATGTTCGTGAGACCATGGGGCTGAGGACAGTGGACACAAATGAATGGTAGAGCTGAGTGAAAAGCCAGCCAGACTTTTCCATGCTGTGTTTAAGGAAAGCTTTTGTGTCCCGGTCCAGACTACTCTGAACAAAGAAGGGCTGCAGTTTGTCCCCCAGTAGGTCCGGGACGCAACGGTACCACTGCAACAGAAAGCATTCACTTGAGAGAACTTAATTATACAGAAGGGTGATCTGATCTGAAAACCTCCCCAGCCATTTCATCACATAGCTACCTCTATTCTTAATTATCATCACACAGATACATTATGTGTAGCCTAAAATAAGATCGACTGCTACGTTCAAGCATTTCAGTTTAAGAAATAATAAAAATACAAGGAGGAAAAGGTTCAAATTTACCTCTTCATTTTCATGAGCCACCGTCTCGCTCATCGTGTTGACAGTTAATAGGGCGCGCACAACGGGACTGCGCACGTACCTGCCCGTCCACATTCTTCTGACGGCGAGAAGAAAGCCCACGTAGAACAACACCCACGCCACAAAAACCACAGTCCTCAGCTGCAAGGAAAACATACCGGACAGGAGCAGCGTGGATTTTTACCAACCAGGGCACAGCAGTGAGTGGATACAAGCGTTAATATTGCATGGTGAAGGAAAAACTAGCCAAATATAAATCAACACGAGTGGGAATGGCTCCAGCTGAGAGTACAAACAAGAAAACAAACCTTGTGGGCGCGGTGGCTTAAAGATCAGACGCTATTTACTCGCCATCTTTGTCTCACCGTAAAACCATTTAGGGAGATTAGGCCTAAATAAACATTATTCATTGAACAGAGTTACTGCACTCTTGCTGCACAGCATCTTCGTGCATCTGCCATACATGCTACTTCCGCATCACTTTGCTGACTCCAAATTAAAGGTGCATAGTGCCACCTACTGTATTGGAGTATACTACAGCATTACTTTTGTATATTATTAACTGGTGTATCAAGGGTTTACTCACATTTTCATAACGAGGACGAGAGTTTTGGTCTTTTCTTTTACTTAAATTAATCCAACCTTACTATTAATTCTTTTGGGTGGCAATGGGGCAAACAAAACTGTGCATATTGCTTACTGTCGTTGCATCCTTGAGCAAGACACTTTACCCACCTTGTATAAATGAGTTAAGGCCAAAATCTAATCCAGTCTCATGAAGACAAAAATAGACGATTACAAATTATATTATCCACCAGGGGGCGTTATTGTGTTACATAAGCATAGATGCAGTTCGGGATGAGATAGGCTTGACAGATGCTGATTGCAAAAATATAGTAATAAGTTCTATTCTTTCTGAGCGGATGACATCTCTAGAAATGACAGCTCATGAAAGGACTAACTTGTAGGAAGTACCAATAATCACCTGACTCCCGGGGTACATCCAATTCTTAATGGCCGTACCTTCTCAAAACTTTTAACTCCTCGCTTCAATCCCACAAACCAGTCGAGCCACAGAGGAGGATAAATTTAAGATGTTTTCCATTGGCTTTCTGTCCTCAGTGGGTGGGACCGAGGGGGTTCAGGCTTCGAGGAGTCAAGTGGTCATAGAAAGGACGCAAAGTGAAGGAATTGGAATGAACCTAGGAAGTAATCATAAATCACTTGACTTACACGTACTCCAAATCACGCGTGCAGACTACATCTTTTCAGTTCTACTCATTTAAACTTGCCATTTTTTATTGTTGGTGATAAAGAAGAATTGGTGTCATGGCCAGTGTTGTGCGTGCCGTCTCGGAGCTGGTTGAAGAAGCTCGCGTGAAGTTTGTGCAGGAATTTGGAGAGGAGCCGCAGCTGGCCGCCTGTGCACCAGGCAGAGTCAACCTGATCGGGGAGCACACCGACTACAATGACGGCTTTGTCCTACCAATGGTAACAGTTTTGTAATTACAGCAACAGCTCCCACCACCCGTAATAACAAATGTTCAACAAAATGCAAGAAATTATAAGTAACCTCATTGATTCCTAAGCCAGCTAGAGTTATTTGAATGAAAGTTTGACAGGATACACCTAGGTGTTGAGGTTGGTGCCTGATGTAATTGATATGAAGGAAATGTAGCTGAAATGTGTTGGTATTATCTGGATCTGCTACTAAAAAAATCCACATTCACGTTTTGACCTCTTTCATTTAAGTGGTGCATATGAACATTGAGTTAAAGCTGCACTACCACCTGGGGACAACCCAGTGACCAGAAAAGTAACCTATATGGTTACAAAGTGCACCATTAATAAAGCTATTTTGGACCCATCAGATTAATACTTTTATTTGCTGCACATTACTTACTTACTACAAAGATGCAAATGACCTCATTTAAAGGTACACTGCGAAACTTTTCTAGTATATCCATGAATGTTTTCTGTCTATAGAGATAAGCAGGCCAAGTTACAGATGTATGTGGAGACGCAATTTGGCTACTGAATTAATTCCTTTTTTCCCAAAGGGATCTTGTGGTAAAAGCATGTATAGTTAAATAAATGCTATAGCCATAGATACATTACCCTACTGTGGAATAATCTGTCAGGGTAACTAACTGCATGTTTTGAGTTTATTTAACTAACAGTGTGTCCTTATGTTTGTTATACTATCAAAGGCCCTGCCAATGGTGACAGTGGTGGTTGGCAAACAAAACTCAGATCACAATGTTTGCATAGTAACATTAAATGAGGATGCAGACCAGCCTTGGAGAGTGGACTTCAGCCTGCAGACTGATCTGGTTTCTGGAAAACCTAAATGGGCAAACTATGTCAAGGGAGTTATACACCATTATAGAGGTAAATTAGTTAAGATCAGTTATTTTCCTTTTTTTATCACAATTAAGTTAAACAAAGTTTCAACTTGTAAATTGTAAGTCAAAAATAAGTAGTATTTTCTACATTTTAAAATTCTGAAGGAATCTACTTTTTACGTCATGAACTAATAAGTAAGAGGCACCCTGGCGTGTGGTTGAATGGTAAAGCTGCTGACTCTTGCAGAATGTCCTATTGCTCTACATTATAATGACCTTTATACTTCATGTGTAATAACCAAATATGTTCTGTCCACAGCTCGTCCTGTCCCAGGGTTCAGGGCAGTGATAGTGAGCAGTGTTCCTCTAGGAGGAGGTCTGTCCAGCTCTGCTTCACTGGAGGTGGCTTTCTACACCTTTTTACAGCAGATCAAACCAGGTGAAGGTCCAAAGCTATAGTGTTATATGTTATATCATCAACAACAAACTGTATTATATTGTATTGTATCTGGCTGCACATGATAGCTCATTGTAAATGAAACGAGTAGTCTGATTCACTTTCAGAAATATTTTTTACAATCTGATGTTTGACTTGGTTTTCAGATGATGGCAATAAAGTAGCTAAAGCAGTAGCTTGTCAGCAGGGGGAGCACTCTCATGCTGGGGTTCCTTGTGGCATTATGGATCAGTTTGTTGCTGTTTTGGGTCAAAAAGACCACGCTCTTCTCATTGACTGCAGGTTACAAATTACTAAATTATAGAAGATTGGTATAGAACAAGAGTGCTCGTCTCTAACAATATTAAAATGTTGACATTTTAGATCTATGGAGGCCAAGCCTGTCCCTCTGTTGGACACCAATCTTGTCATTTTGATCACAAATTCCAATGTAAAGCACTCACTGACTGGCAGTGAGTATCCCACCAGACGGAGGCATTGTGAGGCGGCTGCTGTCAGTCTGGGCAAGGCTAGCCTGCGAGAGGCTACAATGAAGGAACTGGAAAGTATATGAGATAAACACATCTATTTGTCTTGTATATTTTCATAATGAACTGTAAAACTATTATACCACATTTGTAGATTCTGTCTGTAATTCATAATTGTACTAACTCTGTATTCTTTGTCCTCTACCTCAGAGGCAAAAGACCTACTAGATGAAGTAACTTTCAAGCGAGCACACCATGTAATTGAAGAGATACAAAGAACAGAACAAGCTGCTGAAGCCTTGAAAAGTGGAGCTTACAAAGAAGTGGGCAAATTAATGGTAGAGAGCCACAACTCACTCAGGTATTTTGGACTTTAATTTAAAAACCTAACTCCAATGTATGATTTGTCTTTAGAGCCAGCTATTGCATTCAAGCCACAGTTTGTTTTTTTGTTTTTTGTTTTTTTACTTTTTGCAGATTTCTACTTTGTTAGTAATTACAGAGATATTACCCATAAATCAAGTTAAAACCTTAATTTTACAATAAAAACACAAATTGTACCTCACCTGCCCTCTACCTCATATTTAAACTTGAATGTTATCAAATGAACTCAACATACCGACTCTAGTGACGGCTTGTGTGTTGTCAGGGACCTGTATGAGGTGAGCTGTCCAGAGCTGGATGAGTTGGTGGTGGCTGCTCTGGAGGTGGAGGGAGTGTTCGGCAGCAGGATGACTGGAGGAGGATTTGGGGGATGTACAGTGACTCTACTGCAGGCCAACGCTGTTGACAGGACAATCAGCCACATCAAGGTAGAAAAACAAACTCATATATGTTACTGACTACATTTATTACAGACATCACATCAGATCAAATCACACAAAAAAGTTCAGAATTTCCTATAATACCACTACTTAAAAGTAAAGCAGTTAATCTTATTTGATCAAGTTTTATATAAACACTGGAACTCCAAATTTGTACTGAACACTTCAAAAGTGTTTTATTTTTGCACACCTGTACAGCTGTAGGAAGTGCATTCTTTTAAATTATTATTTCTACATCCTGCATGTATCAACATATAAATTTTTTATTAAAATGTTTTTCCCTTTCTTTTAAGGAACGATACAGTGGAAATGCTACATTCTATGTAACAACCCCATCAGAGGGAGCCCAAGCTCTAAGTTTCAGTTCATAATTGCAGTTGACGCAGTGTGCAAAGTGTGAAGGCAACCAAATAATACATTAATGAATAATACAATGTATTTTAGTTGATTTTATTTCTTTTTTTAATAATTTTTTGTAACTTATATTTTATGCTGTGGATTGGTTGTGAATTAAATTAAATAAATGCACAGTTACCCAACTGACTGTGTCATGAATGTAATTCATTATAATGTATATGTTTTTTTGCGTCTTTGACATCTGGTCAAAATGTTCCAAAATAAAAAAAAAAAAAAAAAAAAAAAGACGGTATTTATACAGGCTAGGATAAAACCGGAAGTGTGCAGTTAGTTTCGGAGTTTACGGGGTGTGCTTGAACGCAGCATGTGGGAGGAGTTTGAGGCGCTGAAGTTTAGCTTAGCAGCAGGAAACACTGCGGCTATTTCTACCGGACAAGAAAAGAAGACTCCTACGATATAATTGAATTACAATTACCTCTCTCGTCTGCTCTACAATCAACCGGGTTTTGTGTCTACGGGTTTTCGGGATTTTCTATGAAGGTGAAGCACTTTGGTGTGAAGTGAGTGGACTGGGACTGTAGAAGAAACCTGTTCAGCTGTGCACGTCGGCGGAGACACGGCTGCTCTGAATCAGGTGGGTCTGAAGGGACGAGGGCCCAAACTGTTGATCGCAATCGCCTGACTGTGCAGGTGGTGAGGAGATGATCCACCTGTTTTCAAGACTCCGAGAAGACGCTGAGAGCAGTTTTTTTCAATCGCGTTAACCAGCTCGCTAAACCATTATGTCATTGTATATCACCCTGGTAATAAACCTCATTGTAAGGTTTCAGCGCTAAATTGCAATAGAGTTAATTCCAACTGTTAAAACTTTTTAACAGAGGGGCGTAACTTGGGCATTTGCACCTCAGTAGTGGTATAGAGGTCAATAGAGATTTTACCATGGTATGATGATTTGTTATAAAAGGAGTTTCCTTTGTAAATTGAACACGATTTGATTTTTAGGCTGTTGTTTACTACTTCGAAACTGAAACTGGGGTAAAGTGTTGAAACTTAATTTGCACATGAAGTTAGTAGAGCAGCAGATCCAGTACATTGTTGTGTAATGACGGAAGCGTAACCGCAGAAAGGTGTGTCCTCCTGGCTGGCAGGTATGATAAGGCCTTTGAGTCATGTCTTTGTTGGGAGGGCAGTATTGTTTACATCCGAGAAAACTGGGAAACAGTGCATCATGATAGGTTTGAAGGGTCTCTATAAAGCCGTTTGTCTAATGTCAACTAACAAGGTTTTCTTAAGCTATAAACCTTTCTGGTTTGAGTTCAATTTAGTTCTGATTTGGTAGGTTTGGTCGTTTTTGTTTGATGATGTTGCTGTAGTCGAGTAGAGCTATCCTAATTTAGTCACATGGTGTGTGTGTATATACACAGTGCTAGCCAGATCTGAAGTACCGCAGCTGTGTTGGAGATAAGAATAATGTTTTAATTGCTGATGGAAAGTGGTTTGTACCTCCTTATCTCCTTGACCACAACTTGCAAAGGCAGACAGTGGTGTTTATTTCAACCTGGTTGGTGGAGAAGACACCCCCACTCACTCTCTCTGTTCAGTACTAAACAAACAGGCTTTGTTCTCGGACTTGTTCTGTTGCACCTGCCGCCACCTGAAATGGAGGCAAAACAGTTCCCCCTCCCTGTGGGACATCTGCAGGTAGGGAGGCTGTTCCTAGCATACATTTCAGTATTGTAAAATGTGTAACTAAGTCTGGATTGAAGAAAGGGTTACACTGATGTGAACTGCTCATGTACCTTTTGCTTTGTACTTTTTGAATCTTGAATTATTAGACAACAGTAATTCATTTGCATCCATTTATTTTCCTGTTGTAGGCAACATTTGTGACTTTTCGCAAAAGATTGCTATGGCAATGGTCCTGATTTTCATAATTCTGAACCCCAGGGATGAGCAGAAGTTGGATTTTCAGCATATGTGTTTTATATGTTACCCATTAATTGTTTATTGTTGGTTATGAGGTAGCCCAGTATTTTTAAGAGTCTTTGGTTCATCAGAGTTCATCTTTGTCTCTTTTGGTTCATTCCAACATTTGAAGATGGGCAGCGCACATGGGTAATCAAGGGCTGCTTCATCTCCAAAGTCTAAAAGCTTACAGCAGTCATGACACACTTTTGAATAATAATTGCACAAATAAAATTTAAAATATACACATGACACTTGAGAAAAAGGGATGAGGATGCAGACCTCCACCCAGAGGACTGTTGAGTGACTTACCTCCAGCCACAGGTCTCTAAAACAACACCAAAGTCCACTGTTTCATGGCCGCTGTTTTCAATGTAACGGTGCCAACATTGACATAATTTTACACAAAAGACAAGCCCAAACCCTTTTCCTAACCTTAACCATTACAGATTTGTGCCTAATCTTAACCAGACAAAGGGCCTACGGCAACATATTCACAGACAAAATACATCTAATATACCTATGCTATTTACACCCTTGTATATGTAAGCCTGTGTTGACAGTTTAATATTTGTATTTGTTTGTGACAACAAACAACCCACGCATGCATAGTAGAGCAGAGAAAATAGGAAGCTAATTTCAAACTAGAAATGAAATCTATTGGTGATCAAATGTCTTTGAAGTGCTGATAGAAAGTTTAATGAAGTAATATATATATATATAACTGAAACTAATGAAAAATGGTGAGTAGTTGGTACGGTGATGTAGGTGCATCCTGATGGAGCTCTCTGGGGTAGGGTCCTCTGGGTAGGGGTCTGAGGCGTGCCTTACTTCAGCACAATGACTGACTGAGTGATTCTGATCTCACCTGTCGGTCCCTGCTCTTTCACCCAGGGCTTTATTTTGAGTTTGCATGTTCTTTCTGAATCTTGTTGATTTTCTCTAAAGAAATGCTGTCATTATATGTCTATGACACACACACATGCACAATAGACTAATCCTACGTAACTAATTCTGACTAAGTTTTTGTCTGTGTTCCTCCTGGTAATGACCGGGTTCTCAGCTGACACTGTTTGAAGCATGTGTCAAATGCAGAGGACAAATCTCCCTGTGCAGACATTCTACAAATACCGTGAATAGTATAAAACATACTATGCACATTTTCACTAAACTAATCAATATCCTTCTTTACATAATTGTTTTTGCAGTTAGAAACTTTTTTTTTTTAAAGCATGTTCATGTGGCTGACTATACATTTTTGATGTCTGAGCAGTATGTTACATGTGCATGTAGAGGTTGTAATTCTTGCTTGATGATTATTAAAATAATAAAGAAAAAAATGTAATAAATGATACATAGCATCTGAGCCTATTTTTAATGTAAACTTAGTGTTCCTATAAATCATCTGTAAATAATAAGGACATTGTTGAACAAGGAATGGAACAAATATCAGAATTGCAGAATACAGCTTAATTTTTATTTTCAAAATATAGTATTCCACTATTTAATTGAAGAATAATATTCAAAGCACATCTAACATTAGAATCACTCTAAGCAAAGGCACTGTCCTCCCATAAATGTCACTGCTATATAACAACAATACACACGTACAAGATAATACTTTCATTATATGTGAAGTATGCTTTAACATTGTGAAGTTTGCACAAAGGAAGAAGATATATTCAAACATTGCTCAAAGCTGAACAGAACACATATATTGGAGAATCAGCAAAGAAATGGATCTCTCTTGTTTTTATATAATGTATGTGTGTGTGTATATATATATATATATATATATGTGTATTTATATTTATATTTGATTGATTGATTGCCGGTGCTGTCTCTATTGTTTCTGAATAGTGAATGCATGGCCCCTGTACATTGTGAGATACACAAACCAAGTGAGGTGCACACTTCCTTCACAGAGTTTCATTCAAACTCATAGTGACCCTGAAGCGGCTAGTGTCATATCCACTGTGTAATGTCTCACCTGCTGTGGCTAGAGGACTATTGTTGTCTGGTATCAGTGTGAGTGCTTTGAATTATGAGATGTATCATGATGAATTCGCTCTTTCCTGCTCTCGCTCTGCCATTTAACCACAGATTTCATAAGCTCATATGTAGAATGCTTTGGATGCCTGGCATTTCCTGGCCACTCATTCAGACCCAGTTGTACTAAGTAGCTGAGAGACCTCTGTAATGTAGCGCTGCCTGTTGAACTGCCTTGTCGCTGTTAAGGCCAAGTCTGGACATGTTTATTCACATTTTTCTTCTTCATTTCCCTTAACTTTTAGATATGCTGGGAATTGGATGACCTCACTGAAAAGTGCCACAGTGCTTTGTAAAATGTAGAAGGATATTGACCTGGTAGTGTTTAGCTTCTGTCAGATAAGGGCTATGACTTAACTCTGACTGAGAGTCACTGTACCCAGAGTAGGAACTGTGATGACACACAGTTTCTCATTAACCTGAGGCCTCCAGGTGCTTCCCTGGTACTACGGTTATAGATTACAAAAACTTTCCACAGAAATTATAGTGTATAAATGGAGCTGATTGAATGTTAAGAAACTTGGTTCCTCAGTTGACTTCATCTAAAGGGACTGGGAGTCACATTGTTGCACAACAATTTAATTGAGTTGCTTTGGAAAATGTTATTGCTCTAACGGTCATTATGAAGTCATGAGGAAATACAGATGGAAAATGATTAGACCAAAAGTGAGCCAAGTTGTAATCCAAATTTCCTAGTCTTAATTTTAACATTTATTTTCTGGAATTATCTCACTCTTAATCAATTCTGTCTGTCACTGAGACATCCAAATCCCATTTATAAATCTATCATTTACTGGTTAAGGTTGACCTCTTGTTATCATTGAACTTGACCTTTACAATGACACATTTCTTAATATATTTTGTTGTGTTGTGGCAGGTGGGCAGCGGGCCTGCAGTGGCCTAGAGTCTCCACACTGAGAGCATGAAGAGGTTCAGACGACACGGCCATGAGTCCCAAAGAGATCGGCTAAAACAGGAGCTTTTTCAATTCAACAAAGCAAGTTTTCTAAAAACTCTTTATAGGAGTTATTACCATATTCTTTTAGTTCATATATATATTTCATAAAAGTTTATGCAATTATTCTTTGAAGTTTTAATAAAGCGGTTTGTGTTCTGTGTACAGACTGTGGAGCATGGGTTTCCACACCAGCCCAGTGCTCTTGGCTAC